TTAAAGAGTTAGATGAGAAATTCCTTGAATGTTTAAAGTGGGAGAATATTGGAATTAGAAGTTGAAACTTGAATAAAATATTTGAATCTAGAAATCTTTCGCCACTACCTGCTTGCTATTTATATATAAATTGATTAACATAAAATTAATATGAAAAAATAATTTATAATCCAATTGTTTACACATAAAATGGGTGGCAAATTTCCTAAACTTTCAGCCAACATTGGACTAACATAAGGAATGGCCAAAGCTTCATTTGCGCAATATAGCCTAAATCTTGGAACTTTGGTAAAAGAAGGATGACCGACCACTTTTGGTTTCTTTTGTTTAATTTTTTCCGAGAGAATTTTTACGCGTTCAAGATATTCAATTGACATAGGAGATGGTGGGCCAAGCTTACGAGTGTTTAGTACTCCAGTAACAATGTCAGTTTTATCCATTTCAGGTTTCCAATATGATGGCATGCTACTTGTCAAATCTACCCATGGCGACTTTTATTTATTATTAAAATAGACATTATTAATCTAATAGAATAAATTAAATAAATTAGAAAAGGATTTGTAAATATTTATGATATTTGGTGTATACCCATAAAACAAGTCCTGATGGCAATGGTAAACTAATGTCACGAATGAATAATGCGGTAGCAGCAGCTAATCCACCACCGGCACTAGATCCAGCAATTACAATTTGTTTAGGATCAAATGGTTTAAATCCGGCTTCTGGACCAGGATTTGTAAGATATAGATATGCTGCTAGAGCATCGCAAAGCGGAGCAGGAAATTGATGCTGTGGACAAAGACGATAATTAATTGCTAATTATAAAGTATTAAATAAATTAAAATGGTTAAATACTTTTTGATGAATCAAATCTAAAAATAAAAAGTTCAGTGATTAAAAATTTACCAAAAATTGAGCATTCAGCACTTTCAGCGATCTGATGTGTAAGATTGCGGGATGATAATTTAGGTGATCCCATATAATATCCACCACCAAACATGTAAAGTACCACTCTCCCTGTATCCTCCTTATCCTTAACCTTAAGCCATTCTCCGAATAATCCATCATCATTAAAATCTTTCCATTTTTCATCAATAACGTCCTCATATATTTTCAATCCATCCTCCAAATATTCCTTGCTTTTAATCCTATATTTGTCATCTAATTTAACCTTGTTTATAATGAAATTATCTGGAACTGTTACAGGAATGTCATCAAATTCTTCTTTTACTTGTACTATGGATCTGTCTTTATTATATTCATTACTTTTTTGAATTTGTTGTAATATCTCATAATATTGCGGAGAAAATGAAGTTTGAGACATTTTTTTTTGTAATTTTGTACAGTACAAGCAATTTATCCTTTTTTAGGGGGGTCGATCACCTTTTCGGATTTTGTCGCCGAAATTAACTGTTTAACGTTAAGGACGTTAAAACAGCTTTGGAGGTTTATCCTAATAGATGTATAATTAAAAATGCGGGACAGCTCGAACAGATCGTATGTTAGTTACGATAAAAACTGAACAATTAATAGAGCCTAGTGTTTCGATCCGAAATCCGACTGTCCAGATATTCAGATTGGTCAAGAATCTTAAATAACGAACCTAAGAGTGCACACAAAAGCTGGCTTTATATATAATTTAATGAGGATTCAATCCGGATTTAATAGATCCGGATGGCCTGTCAAAAATAGGATCGAAACACTAATAGAGCCGTGAACGATTGCATATCTATGCATTATACAGTACTTAAATACGTGGGTGAGTTTTCAATACGTATATAAAATTTTATATACGTGCGTACTGTACATATGTCTGCACGTATATACATCGCATTGCATTATTAAATGATACTTATATATTAAAACTTGATTTTTGGAGTCGAGTCAGTTAGATCTGAACGTTAATTTTGTCCAGTTTCGCTTAAAGCAGATAGATGTTAAGTTGATAATTATGGTGACTTGCGCGGCTAAAAAATTTAGCATGTCGCATGGCATGCCATACTAGAGGAACGTCATAATATAATTATATCTACACCGAAATAAACCTGTTTATAATCAAGTTATTATAATAAATTTATTTTACTGGCAAGAATCTTGCAAATTTGTACGTTTTATTTATTTGATTAAAATTACCTGGAATAGGTTTAACGTTAGCTGTAGCCTCCGATTAGACTAAAACATTAGAGGTATAAATATAATTAATTTAGTATAAAGTACTATCAGCTGCTATGTGGTTCATTGTCGCGGATTAATAACCCTTATACATTTATTTATTATAATTTCTATCCATAACGATAAATTTGACTCTAATCCAAAAAAAAAGTAAAAGAAAACGTCTCAAAAATTTGTATTTTGCAGTGGCTTATCTATTTAGATCATACAAAATTTCATTTTGATCAGTCTTCATTTAATATGACATGGGGGGTTGTACCTGCCAAGAAAATTTCTGTATTATTAAATTACCCGGTTATCCGAGTAATTCATATATAGTTACCGGGTACGATCTCTAATATGACACATTAATTAATTAAGACATCTTAAGGCTTGTATATTAAATACTTTATCTAATACAGTAATGTATTTTTATTTATAAAATATAATAATACTTGAATTGCTAAGCTATGACTTTTTTTAGATAAGCATAGCTTAGCCAATTCAACTTTAGTCAATGACTAGCTAACGCTAGCACGTTAGGATTCACAATTATTAAAATCACTCAAGAGATAATCTCATGTTTGACATTTAATTAATTAAAAAGAAAATAAAATACTTTTTTATAATTAATCAGATTAAAATACCAAAATATTATATGTACTATATATGTATGCTCTTAAAAACAACACTAAACAAGATACCTGCTCATATTGCTGAACTATGCACGATAAAAATTAACTTTTGATTAATAGTAATAAAATAGAATAAGGTTATCGTGTTGTAAATATATTAGTGTAAAACCTATCATAAATTATAGAATATTAGTATTAAATCAAATTAAAAAAAAAAAAATATAAATAAGCACCATTTAAACAATTACTCACTCCGATATTGATAAACTAGTTTTATATTTATTATACATTTCATCTATAAATTGTCGTCTCACGGCATATCTATTAATAGCAGCCAAATTAAAACGAGAATAACAATTTGGAAGTGTTAAAATAGTGTAATAAAATAGTACATACGGCTGCCTTACTCGACTCTCTGTCAAATTCCTACATGCATCGTGGGCCGATATAGCAGTGTTTCGTACAAGTGAACCAATTGTATGCCGACTAACAATCATACCATCAACTAATGGTCCGAATGTCTAAAAATATATATATTCATTAGATAAAGCGTCAAAAATGTAATAAATATACGCGTTTACCAGGTGGCTTTCGTTTAATTTTGGTGGATCAGAATTCCAATTGATTTTTCCTCTTCCCGTTCTCTTTTCACTGCTAAGTCCAGAACCAATGCCACTAGAACTTGAATGAGGTGTGGAGGGCGTAATTATTCTTATCCAATATAGCCCTGTTGCGTTCTGTAATGGATGTACAAATATGTACACAAGTGCAGATTGGCCAATTTTTGATGGTGCATTATGCATTGATAAAACGTCATCAACCCATACTATACAAACTAAGTCATCAGAAAAAATGTTTTTAAAAAGATTTGATAATGAATCCAATGATAAATCATTGTTTTGTGTTTTAATAAGATATGGAACATTGAATATAACTTCAACTGATCTATCTGCAAAATATGGTGCTGTTTTACAGATTGATGAGTCTAGTTTGGCTTTGTAGCCTGAATGCGTTTCTAATGAAACCTAATGATCAGATGAAAATGTCAAAATACTATGTATGGTTAACTTTCTAAAAATTTATAATTTTTAAAAGATAAGTTTACCGGCCATCCTAAACTGTTTAAAAATCTTTCAAAATCTTCACTTATGGAAGGTGGATTTATTATATGGTCCAAATCATCAGAACCAGATTGGATATAGTAAACTGATACACTAAGACAATTACGCCTATGATGAAAGAAAATTATTTTATAGATTTAATGATCATATATATATATTATATATTGTTTTTACGTATTTTTTTTAAATACATTGTAAATAATTAATTATACTTTACTCATTTAACAAATCCAATTTTTCAAGATCACAGATAAGCTTCTCTGATATTTTTAATGGTATTACACGATGCCGATTCTCTAAAGATATCAAGCCCATATGAGACATAAATAATCGAAACATTTGCGGGCTAAATGTATCAATAATAAAAGATGATTAATAAATTATAGTATGAATTTTATATTCATGAAACTTGCCTTTCGAGATTAAAGTTCGGGGCTGCAGGAGTAGCTTTGTAACTGTATAGATAAAGGTATACAAGTCAATTTCAATTGATAAAAAAAATATAGATTAACAAAGGTTATTCACTAATAATGCAATTTACTTTTGGTGGCCAAACTTGGCGTTTCTTTTTTCTTCAAAAGATTGCTTCTCTATTTCCTTTTGTCTCTGTGTTAATTTTTTAACTTCACGATAAGCTCTCCAGCTATCACTTCCAGCTTCAAAGATATTATCAACGGTAGGTATTTGATCATTGTTAAAAGAAAAAATTCGTTGAATAAAAGATTGATCCTTAGTCCCTTGTTGTTCATAAAGGAAGTGCGGAGGTGTTTCTGTTCGTAAAATTGGAATTGATTGTAAAGGGGATAATAAAGTTGGTTCATGCAATTCTTTATCTATTTCTGGTGATAAAGGACGAGTTTTACTGCTGTCTCCAATAGATGGTTTGTAGCACATATGTGATTCCCACGAGTATTTTCCTGTACTATCCCGCATAACTATAATGACCGATGGACAGTCATCGGTTTCATCTAATTCTTTTTGAATATATGCTTGTGGTATTGGAGCCTTTGGTGTTCCTGGAGATGAAACAGGAGTTCCTGCTTCAACAGGCGTTTCCAAATTGTCAGATGAAGCCAAAGTCTTCGGATCTTTATTAATTATCCATACTGGATGCTTTGGTATTTCTACAAAACCTATCACAACTCGGCCATCAATCAAAAAGTACCTAACTAGCTCGGGAATAGATCCTACATTCGACTCTGCGATCCGTGCTTTAGCAAGTAACAAGTCATCATTAAAAAGAGTTGAAACTCTGCTTGGTCCAATATGATCACTCCAAGCAGGGAAGTTTCCTAAATGATTTACAAATTGTGACATTGCGATCTCGGCAGCAAGTTTAACGGCCATTTCCCCTTTTTTCCCGCATCGATTTTGTCCACCAGCTTGCATCATACTTTCGCTATTAGCTGTAGACATTTTAACTCGTGTAGCAAAAAGTTTATTAGGAATTGGATCTTTGCGATTCTTTTTCTTATCAGCAGGAGAACTTGGTTGTGAATTATCGTCATCATTATTTGGAATTATAGAAATGCCTTTACTAATTGTCGAGATCACAGCCTCATGACAATCACGATCACCAACTATCCATTGACCAACAAGTATCCAACGCATCATACAATCATATGCTCTTTCGACTAAATTAAATGTTATCGACTAGTTACATAGTGAAACAACATGGATTCAATAATGAATAGCAAAAAAGAACATACCCGTACACATCACAAAAAAAAGTTACATAAGAAAAATAACGATATAATCTTACCAATCCACCATATGCACCAGAAAGCATTGTGTCGATATAACGGCAAAATTCCAAGACTAATTCTCTAGCACAATTCTAAAAGTAATCAAATTATACTTTAACAAAATGACATAATATAAAATGACACAACATCCAGTAAATCATTCATACTTTGCTATCCCGTTGAACATATTCATACAACCCGACAAAGTCTTTAAGGACATCAAAGGCATATAAAGTTACATCAGAAGGAAGATTCATAGTCAAAACCTAAAAATAAATCGAGGATCTTTAAATAATTGCAATTTGAAACAAAATATACACACAATTTAGTAAGTTACAAACCTTTTCTTGAATAGATTTTACTACGAGACTAACCAATCCAGGACAAAATGCTACATCTTCAACCACGTAAACATTTATTAAGTGAAGAAGATATCGAAGATTATACGTCGATTTTTCTGTTTTTAAAGATTTAAGGAGAAGTTCCAGTATATAAAATTTCAGCTAAAAAATACACATAAATGAAAAAATAATGAGATTATTATTATTTTATATATTAAATAGTAACTGCTAAACAATAAACAAAAACTTACGGCTGTGAAAGGTTCAGGCTTATTTTCTTTTTTAGAAATATCACTCTCGTCTTCGGAATATAACACGCGCATCTATCCATAAAAAAGGTTACCATATAAAATAATTTGAATGCAAAGGTACCAAAATTTAAATAACTTACAAGTTCGTTGACCATAATTTCGTCATCATTACTAACAAGTTTATCTCCATTCTGATGTAATCCAATATTCCAATTCTCTCTCATAGGTACCTTTTCAAAATGGTTTGGTAAACACATAATTGTACTGGCTACTCTTATAGCAGCAAGTCTTAAATCTTCCAAGGGTACATCAATTTTAAAGCCCGGAGCCAGTTTTGGTAAAATCATTTTAATTCCAACCACAAAATCAGGCACCATCATTCTTACACCTTCCAATTCTGTAGCGAAAAGCGATGTTGCGTTCATCAATATTGTAGGTAAACAACTATCGACACGCAAACCTTCAATTAAAGCAAGGTAGAATTGCGTAACATAATTGCGTAAAAATTTTTCACGTTTCTGAGGTAAACAAAATATTCTACAAAGAATACCAAATGCAGCAGCTCGACCGAGCTGAGTACCCGCATCAGGTCGACTCATCATACAAGCTTGGAATAGCCATGGACCAAACATATGTAATATTGTGTTTCCATCAGGTATTGCGAAAAAAGAACACCCAGTATCTTGTTGAAGATCTTGTTGAGAAGATTTATGGATAGTTAGCTGACCAATTATTTGAAGTGCTTCAATAATTTTACCAATTCCCGAAATTGCCGAGGAAAAGTTTGAAGATGGTAATGTACATGGATTATTTATTAAATAAACCATTCTATGCCAAGCATAATATACAAAATCAGTTGGAAGATCTAATCCAACATTATAACCACCCACAGTAACGTTAACCATATCAGCACCTTCTTTAGGACCATATAATAATCTGACAACACGTTGAGTTAATGCCAATGTGGTTGCATTCCATTGTAAAAGAGCTTGATGTCTATGTGTCCATTGATTAAAACATTTTTTAAAAATATCCCACATTTCAACTTTACGAATTTTTGATCTTAACCATAACTCAAAAAGTACCCTCAATAAATGTTCACATAATTCATCGGCCATAGCCATAGCAGTTTTTTTATCCATATTTCCATCCGAAGTCATAGTAGCGATAGGTTCATGCAATAAACAATCAGTTATTCCCAAAACAACCTTCAAAAGCACAAGCCAAGTTTCTTCAGAAAATTGAGGACCTAAAGTGCGGCCAGCCATGGTTAACACAATCAAAACGCCCTTACATAATTCAATATGGCTTTGTAAATATGTATTCGTTGCTATTTGACTGTTACTTGCAGGAAATCCCGGAGTTGTAGGTGTTGAAGTATTAGAAGCAGGAGTTTGATAACGAGGTTGAAATAATAATGAATAATGATGAAATATTATCTGAAAAACATGAAAAATTTTTAATTTTTAGTAATATAAATATGTATAACTATATATATATATATGTATGTATATATATAAAGAAATGGGAATAAATTCCAAACCTGCCAAAATTCTTGTTCTTCTTGTTGTCCAGTAGCATTTCTAATGGCAGCAGGTCTAGAATTTGGTTCAAATAACCATTGTGAATATAATTCCTTGGAATTCGCCGTAATAATAGACATATCTTCTAAAGGTAAAGCAAATCCTTGACCAATAGCTTCCATAACCCATTTAACGTGAGTGATCGATGATAAAAGATTTGGATCATGCGCTTGGAGCAAAGTTTGGGTTATCTCAGAAATAAGTACCTTTCGAACATTTAAAGGAAATTTAGCCAGAACATTGCTTTCTACCAAAGAAAGGAAATTACAATCACATGTAATGTTATTTAGCATAATCAGAATCTAAACACAATGAAATAATATTGAAAATATAAAAAAATTAAAAAAACTTTTTTAATGTACAAATTTAAAATATTGATCTGTACCAGGATTATGATCGAGAAGTCTTAACCAGGAAATCCATTGCAAAAACATTGCTTATTGTAGGACTTTAGAAATCCTGGTAACACACCAGTTTACGAGAAAAATTAACGCTTTAGCAATCGTAAATAAATTAATCCTTTGTTTGATAGAAAAGGAATTAATGCGTTAAAAACAATTTTGGCACATGACAAATGCGGGAGTCAAACTTTTATGCAACGCTTGCCTGATTGTTGAACCGAATGTGTTTTTTTTTTTTTTTTATTTAATATATATATATATATTTTTTTTTAAAGTCGGGATAAAATTAAATATAATTTAAGTTTACGAACAATTGAAATAAGATTGGATTAATGCAAATTGTTTATAAATACTTTATTGAAATTTAAAAAATTTGAAATAATGACATTTTTAACAAAAATTAGAAATTACAAGTGAGCAAAATTTGAAAACATGGGTAAAAACGAAGAACCGAAGATTGATCTTCGAGTGGTTTATTAGTTGACTATTTGAGTAAAATTAAACGTAACACAAAGTATGGTAAAAGACGTACAGTAACGGATGGACTTTATTGTAACACCTGCATGACATTCGAGGTCCATCTATCATGCAAGGGCCATGGTCCGGACCGGTCTTTTGGACCAGTCCAACTAGTTTTCGGTCTTAAATTGAGGACCCAGTATGGACTGGTCCATAGCTTATAGAATGACCTCATTGGCCAAAAAAAGTTTTCCGATGACCGTATCTACAAGTTTCCGATGTCTCCTAATTCAGTAACTTATTGATTTTGACTTGGTTACTTGTCGATTCGGCCATTGAATTGTCCCAGGATTTGTGATGATAGTTGTAAAGTCTTTGTTATATGTAACGATCATTAAAAATCACATAGCTTACTTTGAAAATCAGCAATAGACCGGTTTATGACCGGTCATGGATAACGGTCCAGTCCGCGGTCCTCTGCCAGAACTGGTCTTTAGGACCAAGACCAGACCGGGACGGACCGTAGCATCCTTATAACAGTGTCGGAGAAAAATCCCGGAGCTTCAGCATACGATTCCGGTATAGCCATCTAAGTTTTTTTTTTTCTGTGAGCAGCAGTTTAAGGAATCTTCTACATTTGATCCAAATCATTTCTATGTCACTTTCAACAAATGAAATGAGCAATTAGCGACGAGCTTTTAAAAGTATGTACACACAATTCCTTTGGCTTAAGTGACAAATAATTGTTAAAAGAATATTCCAAAACGTAGGTCTGTAAACATAGTATATGTGTGACGGCTTTTTTGAGTCGCATTTTGAAGTACTGTCTACCTGTATTTCATAAAAACGATCATTCATATACTTGCATTGGCGTGTATATTAATATTGGATGAGATTCAAGGTAAACCGGCGAAATTGAAATCTAGCGCTAGTGCCAATAATCCTTACTAATTTCAATCGGCCTTATGTCCCGATCGTTTGAAATTGAAATATCTTACTTATTAACTTTCTTCATACTCAAGCACTCTTTTGTGATGTTCATTTAAGATTATCCTCGTTAACCTATGAATGCGGCTACATACTAATTGAGGCCACGGAATGTAGCGGGAAAATCAGTTATATTGGATCTACTATATTTCATTCACCGACAGTTCATTTAGCCGACATCACACCAGGTTACAATTTACCAAAAATATATACCTGCAACTAATCAAATGCCCCTAATCCTATGTGATGTCGGCTAAATGAACTTTCGGTCGGTAAGATGTGCATTTGTATTGATATGAGCATGAAACATAATCTATATGCGACATATAAAAACCGTTAGTAGTGATAACTTTATAGATGATAGTATCGTATTGATATTTGAGATATTCTCATTTAGCTTTAAATTTTGATTCGATATCTTTGCAGTGATTTTTTAGACGACGTAAA